CTGGCTATGAAGTGGGTGTCCGATGTCTCTAGAAGCCTCTGACTACTGCCACTCCTGGGCCACTGATGGCTGTCCTCCCACCCTTTCCACCACACCATGACACTCTCCCAACAGAACCAGCTGTCATGACTGAAGATCAAATTAACAGGAGACTGGAGACAAAGCAGAGAAGCAGAGCTAGGGAGCCAGAGCTGGTTCCAGACCTTCAGGTGATGTGGAATGAAATTTCTATCAGATGCACTCCCCTAAGCTCTGGACCAGAGATTTTTTTTAAAAATAACAATAAACCAAGGATTCTTTAGTAGGGCAGCCAATAAAAGATGGGCACACTCCCAGGGCATTGCTTTTGACACCTGTTTCGGCGGAGCATGGAATCCTAGTGACCCTGAGTTTATAGCTTTGTCCCAGTGGTAGCCACTGGCATTGGACGGTCCTTTTCCATGGGGCCAACAGCCAACCTTCCTTGGAGGAAATTAAGAGTAACCTACGCCTTTCAAAGTCAACCTGTCAAAGAGGATGAAGCCCTGGCTTATGACCCCTTCAAAATGCTCTGTGGCCACCTGACCTCAAGAGAATATCCTGGAAGACAGCACAATTGGGTATTCCAGTCTGTATATCTACTACCCAGCCCCTGAATTCCTAGTAATCCTTCCCCCTGGCTGTGCTTCAAAAAAATAATGTCTACAAAAAATCGTTTTCATTTGGCGGAGAGCTATCTTTCAACTACCTTTTAATTCTCCAGAAAGACAATGTGACGTGAAGACCAGCGTGACCTGTCCCCCACCCCTACTAGGGGAACCCTCTCTCTGCTGGCCTCTGGCATCCACTGACCTCAGCAGCCTCCTAGGGTCAGGGATGGTACCCCGATGAAAAGGAATGCAGAGTGAGTGGACTCCAGAAACAAAGACTTCATCCACAGGGGGATGCTTCTCATTGGACCTGACCTTAGTTCAGAGCGACAGATTCCCAGAAAAGAGCTCCTCCTAGCTGCCCAGTGCCGTTCCTATGGCCGCTGCCAGTTCTCCCAAACCAAGGCCATCTGTACAAGCATATTGAAGGAAGGTCTTTGGCTTTTCCTTTCTCTCTGCCCTTAGTCTGTTGTCTGGAACCACTAACTCTTTCTGAAAGTGCCCTGCCTCTGCCTCAGTTATGGAATCATAACCTCGTCTCATTTATATCAATTACGTGAACAAATTAAGTTAATTGCCCCAATATCATGAAAGCCCTGAAATTTACCAGATCATTAGAACACAAAGATGAAAGGATTGGCTGCTTAAGAAATTACTCTGTGCTTGCCATCCGTGGACGCAGCGCCTGAGTGAAAATCACCTGGAGCGTTCAGGTCAGCGGCTCTGTTGGCTGCCACAGAGGGGAATGCAGCATCTCCAGGCTCATGGGACAGACGTCTTCAGGGAATCTTAGACGTGGCCCCTTTCTTCCCCCAGGAAGACCACAGATGGAGAAACTATAAACTCATCCAGGGGAACTAGGAACAGATCTGGGGAAGGTCAGAGATTGCCAACTCAAGTATTCCAGGCTACCAACTCATTCTGAATTTAAATGCCAAAGTAGAGCATGCTAGGTCGATTCTCAAGGGACTGTCCTAGGTACTTAAACACAAATGTGTCTCTGGGCTAAAAGATGGCCAACTCCAGCGAGTCTAGTCTCCCCTTCCAGCGAAGCAGGGATTCACTTGCCGCTGGACAAGGGCACCAAAGACTCAGATGACTGTGTGGAATCATCTAGGAAATGCCCGGTGTGTCAGTAGACCATGGGTGCTCTGGGAGCAGGAGCTGTCTTTAGGTGTCTTCCTCTGGTTCCCACATGGAAATCGCTCAGTACTTGCTTTCCGATTTTATTATGAGTGGCTGTTTTTGAGACCATGGATCTTGGGAGACAGTGCATAAGATCAGGGCTGTTTGATGTTGTCAAGAGACAACACTGCCCCAGCAAGTCAGAGCACCCTCTGAACAGCACAGCTGAAGGCTCAAGCAAAAGTCCACCTGTGAAAATTTACAGTCTCCCCAAGTGGGTTTTTTTTTGTTTTGTTTTGTTTTGTTTTGGAGTTGGAGTCTCACTCTGTTGTCCAGACTGGAGTGCGGTGGCATGCTCAGGGCCACTGCAACCTCAACCTGCTGGGCTCAGGCGATCCTTCCGCCTCAGACCTCCACATAGCTGGAACTACAGGCATGTGCCAGCATGCCCAGCTAATTTTTCTTGATTTATTGTAGAGACGAAGTCTCGCCAAGTTGCCCAGGCTGGTCTCGAACCCCTGGGCTCAGGCAATCCTCTCATCTTGGCCTCCTAAAAGGCTGGGATTTTAGGCATGAGCCACTGTGCCCAGCCAAAAGTGGGGTTATTTGGAGAGTTCATTACCCAGGCAGGGGAGCCCGACAAGGGACCCCAGAGGATCCTCATCCTTCCTCTCTACCCTGCCCTCATGGCTCCCCCAACTCCTTGTCTCCTGTTATAGAGACATGCCCTAAGGATCATTAAATTAATACTATTGTTAAAATTATAAAATATGACCAGAATTATTAGAACAGACCTAAAGTGAAATCTCAAAGTAAAACATGATTTAAATAGATGAGCTTGTAAACGAGAGATATAAAAGGCTAAAAAACAACAGAAGAAAAGACAGGACAAATGTCTCAAAATCCCAAATGAAGGCGTCTGAAGGTTTAAGAAGTACAATAAACTAAATAGTTTTTTGTGGTTTTTTTTGTTTTTTTTTTACGGCTAGAGGTTGGTTAACTTAGGCCAGGTAAGCCAGGTGGGTTCTCGGCATTGTCTCCATCTTGGTCCCATTCAGGATGGGTTTGACCCAGAAGGCCTTCAGGCATTTGTCCAGGGTTCTTAGAAGTACCGGGCAGCTGTGATGGTTTTCAGGGTCGATGTAAGAGGACAGCAAGAGCCCAAGCTTCCTGGGACCTCTGCCTAATACCCTGGCCTTATGCATGGTGTAGGGCTACCTCCCTCTGCCCCTCCCACTCCCAGTCCCTCTGAAGCCCAGGAAACACAGAACCTTATTCTTCAGTACAAGAGCACAAGGAGTGGACCAGCCAGGGTGGTGGGACAGGAAGATGTCAGAGGTTACGTAGACCTGACCATCACAGACAATTAGCACACACCGGCAGAAAAGAGGTTTCAGTGCTTTGGCATGAAATTTCCCTGCGTGTGCACATGCGTGTGTGTGTGTGTGTGTGTGTCTGTGTTCGTGTCTGTGTTCTAGTTCTGTGTTCGGCCCACTCGCCGAACCCTAGTGACCCCATGTGAACTGACAGCTGTTAATGCTCATGAAGCAGAAATGAGCTCTAGAGAGCTAGATCTAGAATGTTCTTAAATGACCAGAGAAGCATCCTTTTCTTTTTCCCTCTCCTCACCTTCAATCTCCACCATTCTCAAAAAGAAAAAAAAAAAAAGACATCCTACCAATTTGCTATGGAAAAAAGAAATGAAATTGCTGAGAAATCTGTTACCAAAGAAGTATATTTTCAGGCTGCAAGCAAATGTCTAGTTGTACACATTTCCATCCTTCAAAAATTCCATTACACATTTTCCTTGTTTGTTCCTTAAAAACTGAAATACAAGAGCAGCCATCTGCAAGTGGAGGGTGAAAGCCAAGTCATGACTTTGTAGAAAGAGTTAACAGCTCAGATGGTAAAGATCAGTTTGAGGCTGAGTCTCTGGGCCAGAGCCCAGAGATCAGCGGTGTCTTCCCAGATACAGGCTCCAGGACCTGGGAGCAGGGGCCAGCCCTGGGCCACTCACCTGAGGCCAGTTCCCTCAGCTCCTACCCCAAAATGGGTTCGGCAGTCAGAACCATGAGAACAGCTACTTGGGCTGTTAATGACAATATTCTCAATGGCGTGCAGAGCTTCCAAGTTTCCAAAACAATTCAACACTCATGATTTCATGTCAGCAGCCAGGATCCCCCACACCTATAGACAAATAGCTAAGCAAAGCCATCTCCTGCCTGAGCCTGGGCTTTGAGAACTCGTCTTTGCTACAGATGACTAGAATTCAGTCTTCTAAACCTGAAGAGTCATCATCCTTGGACTCCTTCTCTTAAATGTATGTAGGCAAGGCTAGACCCTTGGGTTAGCAAGGCCTTTGTCTTTCAGCTGGGTCTGCCTGGAGTAAGCTAAAAAGCATACAGTGTAAGCCCTCAAATGATCTTAGAATGCCTGGCTAATTAAAACGATTTAAAAAAAAAAAAATGCCAGAATCGGTGGCTCAGCCTACAGCCGCGCCTTTGGGAGGCTGAGGTGAGTGGATTGCCTGAGCCCGCGGGTTCGAGACCCACCTGGGCAGCGAGACCTCATCTCTACAATAAATGAAAAAAAAAAAAAATCAGCCAGGCATGGTAGCACATGCCTGTAATTCCGGCTACTTGGAAGGCTGAGGCGGAAGGATCGCCGGAGCCCAGCAGGTCGAGGCTACGGTGGCCGGGAGCGGCCACTGCACTCCAGTCTGGGTGACAGAGTGAGACTCCAACTCAAAAAAAAAAAAAAAAAATTAAAAAAAAATACAGGCATGCACCTGCATTCCCAGCTACCCAGGAGGCCGAGGCAGGAAGATAGCTTGAGGCCAGGAGTTCAGGCTACAGTGAGTTATGATGGTGCCACTGCAAGCCAGCCCAGGCAACAGAACAAGACCTTGTCTCTAAAACAAGCAAGCAAGACAGCCTCCATCCACAAAATACGAAAGACCCCATCGGCTCGGCTGAAATGGGTGCGAGTTATTTAACGTGTGGCCAAGACGGCCAAGGGTAGGAGATGGCCTGGGGGTTCTTGTTGGACGTGAGACCCCATGACCTAGAGCCCACTCACATGGAGAGACCCCGAGAACCTTCCAGGCCCATGCTTTTGTATTTCTTCTACTTGTTTCCTTCTGCCCTCTCTGGCCACTGTGTTGCTCCTGTGTTAGCCAAGACCTAGAAAACCGGGCACTTTACTGGAGACTCATTACAGCTTATCTCTATCTACCTTTCTTTAAAGCCAGCTGAACATACCCAATGCTCTCCCTCTATGGTAAGACCGACCCCCCCCCCACCACGCTCCCAGCTTCTGTGAACCCCTCTAACACCCCCACTCTCCCCACCCCAACCTCCAGAGTCCCCGGGAGTCCAGCCTAGCTCTCGCTGCATGCGGCCACCGTGCCCGTCGTGCGCCTTGCCTGCTTGTCCTGTTCTCGTGTGCGCTGTGAAGATGCCGTGTGTGTTCTATCACCTCCCCACGCTTTCCTTGGGGTGGGACTTCACCGTGATCTTGACCGTCTCATGAGCCACTGGGAGAGAATGGGACCTGGGAGCCCTTCCTGTTCTGTACCCTGAGGACTCCATCGGCTAAAGCCCCCAGCCTCAGTCCGATGTGGGAAATCTGCAGTATGCCTCTGAGAGCCATGGTCGGGGCGGGGGCCGAGGAGGAGAGACGGGAGAGGTGGCTTAGCCTGGAGAGGAAGGGCAGAGGCTGGCTCCCCACTCGAGGTCTGTCGCTGCTGGGCTCCCCGTGCCCCAAATGAAAGACCACCTAAAAGGTGTGAGCTGGGATTTGGTACTGACAGGGAGCTTGTATTTCCAGTCATTGCGACCACAATACTAACCCCTCGCATTTTTCTAAATTCCCGAAGTGTGTTCAAATTAAGCTGCAGTCACTTCTCTGCAGCAGGCCGGGAGGAGGAAAACAAAACCCGTTGATTGGACCACTCCGGGTGTGATTCGCTTTGGCTAAAGCAATAGAGATGCTGCTGGGTGTGACCTTGAAGTCTCCTTGGCACAGCCTCCGCCAAAAGGCTGCCGTCGCACATTTCAAACGGGGCCCAGTGTGTTTTGAGAAGGACCAGTGGGTTGATTCCCTGGGCCCCAGAAGTCGGCACGCTGGAGGCAAGATTGGGGGGATGGGAGGGTGCTCCCCAAGGCGGCCCGGCACCACCAGCTGAAAGGCTGCCCCAGGGTACTGTGCCTCCCTTCCTGGGGAGCCCCCGCCCCACCCCCCGTCTGAATCGACTGCTTCTTTGCATTGTCATTTGGTTTATTAGGGGAAGTTGTTGTGTCCAGATGGCAATGTGTCTGTTCTCGGACGGCACTAGGGAGCTGCAGCCACCCAGGAGGGTTCTGAGCAGCAGCATGGAATTCACACGGCAAGCTTGGATTTCAGCGTGCCTGTAGCGTGTGTTTTTTACTTTTTATTTTTTCAACTCGGCAGATCCAGATGCCCTTGTGGCACCAACTTCTCAAACTCTTGACACTCGCAGCTGAAGTTCCCCGCTTAGGCTTGTTCTTTCTTCTTTTTTCTCCTTCCCCGAACACGGTGGAACTGACAGCTGAGTTATAAAACCCTAAGCCTCCCCTGCATACATACTCCTCTGGGGGAACACAACCTCCTTTTCTGGGGTGAAAATAGAATTCCAAGCAGATACACAGGTAGAAAGACAGAGATTAAGAGCCTCAAAGGCTTCAGAACACACAGGCAGGGCAGAGCCCCGGGGCAGGATGGAGACTGTTGCCTGCAGCTCGCTCCTGCCCTGTGGGCTCCTGCAGGCAGGTTCCACGGTCTGTTCCCTGCCCTGAGGGGATCGGGAGCCCCAGGGGAAACCGAGGCAGCCCTGATTCTGAAATGGAAGAACTATTTGACTCTCCTCCTGTTTGGGGGGTCCGAATGCCGGGAGAGACCCCTCTGGCTTGGTATCTGTGCCGGGTGGGCCTGCTGACAGAGAGAAGTGGCCTCTGGCCTCTTCTGCTTCCCTCACGGGTCACCAATTGCATCGGAATGAGACAAGCGGGCTCTGAAGCCACATCAGGGACTGTCACGGCAGTCCTTGGGGTCAGAGTGGGAGGGTCTGGGGGAGACCCCGGGTTCTTGCGCTGGTGGGATTTCCAGAGGGGCAGACGAGACATGGGTATTGCGGCGGGAGAGGAGTCTGACCTGTAAATAATTAAGAACAAAGGAAGAAAAGAACTCAGGTGAGGAGTGGGAGTCCCCAGTGACAACCCGAGCCCCTCCCACCTTGAGGGAGGCGTGTACGGACCAGGAACAGGAAGCTCCCAGGTTCCATTCTCTCCCGATGCCCGCGGGGCTGGGGAGCTGCACTAGCTCTGGGGACAGCTGCGGTGGCTTCCTCGTGGGTCCCCGCCTGTCCGTGTGGGCCGGAGGAGGGCCGAAGGGGGAATCGGTTCATGTTGGTCTCAGGTCTGGAGGCGACGGGCCACAGGGCAGCCTGTCCTGCCCCTGAGCCCCGGCCAGGCACGTGCCCAAGCCCCCAGGCTCCCCAGGCATGACTGCAGCGGCCCAAGCATAGCCTCGCCTCAGTTGGCCTTGGCACCCATCCCTACCCTTCCCCTTCTCTCAGGCCTCCACTGAGGGAGACGGTCTGCCCTGAGCTGGGCCCCTCGGTCCCTTCACACCAGGGCTCGGACTTTTATAAGGGACAGCCTCCCCTCCCTTATGCTGCCCCATGCTCCCGCCCCTCCAGGGTCTGGTGCAGCCTGGAAAGGGTTGGAGCCTCCCGGAGGCCCCAGGGCAGAGCAAGGGCTGCACTCCAGACCTTCTCCAAGCCCTGAGCCGCGCCCTCCCGACTCAGGCCCCTCGAGCCCATTTGAGACAGGGGCTGTGGGGAGGTGACCCAAGGGAAACAGGTGCCAGAGTCCTGGGAAGCCAGGGTGTGAGATCCCTTCAGGGCGTGAGATTTAGCCCACTCTACCCACCGAAACCCCCAGGTGCAAGCACACCTACGACTGGGGGAGAGGCCACCGGCCAGCCTCCCCACAGAGAGCCAGGTCCCACCCAGGATGCAGGCCCCTCTGCCGAGCCAGACAGAAGGGAGCTGGGGCTGCTTTCTAGCAGAGGCAGGGGCTCCGGGGGCAGCTGGCTCTGCCTAGAAGGTTCCAAAGCATAGGTTAGTTCTTGTGGAATCTTTTTTTTTTGAATTGGAATCTCACTCTGTCGCCCGGACCAGAGTGCAGTGGCCGCTCCCGGCCACTGCAGCCTCGACCTGCCGGGCTCCAGCCATCCTTCCGCCTCAGCCTTCCGAGTAGCCGGAATTACAGGCATGCACTACCACGCCCGGCTGATTTCTTTTATTTATTGTAGAGATGAGGTCTCGCGGCCCAGGCGGGTCTCGAACCCGCGGGCTCAGGCAATCCACTCACCTCAGCCTCCCAAAGTGTGGGATCTTGTGGAATCTTCTATGGTTCCATTCAGGGTATTAGAACAGGGAATGAATGAAGGGGAAGAGGAGAGAATGGACAGACAAGACTGCGAGCACGGGGGCCTGGGCACGGCTTGGCCCTGCAGAGACCACGGGACTGGGTTGTCTGCCCAAAAAAGGCAGATGGTCC